GATAGAGATAGGATGGGACCCTTCATTAATATTTGACTTTAATAAGTTGGTAAGGATATATTTTTTTTGTCTGTTATGTTTCAACTTATGTAGATTATTATAAACTGATGTAAACCATGTGAGAGGAAAATGTTAATAAAAAAAAATGCAAAGCCCCAACATTTGCACAAAACTCAGGCCTGTGGTGTGGATGTTTGAATCTCAGTAGTCCAGGAGAGACCGCCAGTGTAAATATTTAATTCTTCCAGCTGCATCCACATGTGTTTCCAAGAACCTACTCACCTAGCTAACTGCTTCTAGTCTTTCCTTTGGCTTTTGGGGGCTGGGCCAAACTGAGCTCAAGCCCTCTCCTTGCTCTTTGCAGAAGTCTCCGGGTCAGCTGGCAGCCAGGCTGCTGGTCTCACTGTCTGCATTTGCTGCTACAGCTCTCTTCAAGGATCTCACCACAGACCTAGCCACTGATGTTCCTTGGAGAGTTGGCAAAAAAAGTTGTCCTTTGATTTTATGTAAACTTTTCTCCACATTTTCCTTGGAAGTGGCATGTCTCTGGGCAGCTGTCTGGTCTACCTGCTTGTCAGGAAAGGAAGTTGCATCCTCCAGAGGACCCACTTTCCTTCTGGGACTGCCAGTGGGGTTCACATGGGCAGCCACCAGCCTAAGCCATTGGACATTGTATTTATTCTGGAGATCAGGAACAGATGTCTCTGAAAATTGCTGTTTGGCTTATGAGCTCATACTGGCTCTCTGGTCATCTAAAACAGGAAGCCATTCATCTCTATCAATTGAATAATCGGTGTGGAAAAGACATCGCTTAAAAAACGATGGCTATGGCCAGGGATTTAGCTCAGCAGCGTAAGTGCCTGGTTGGCAAACATGAGGTTGTAAGTTCAATCCCCAATACCCAAAGGAAAAAAAAAAAGAACCAATGGCTAATGATCAGCTTCCAGGATCATCTGCCAAGCAGCTGTTCAGGCAGCATGTCTTATATTCCATCCCGTGTGTAAGCCTGGCTACATGAGGAATGTCTGAGTGCCCTTTCTCCAAAGGGGCCTTAGGTATGAAGTACGTAGGGACAGCACAGGAAACACTCCTAAGTTTGTCTCTGAGCTCTGCTGAGAGCTTTGACTGGCCTGGCAGTGTTAAAGGCTCATGCTTATGAGAACAGGACAGGCACCACGTAGAATTTACCATAGAAGGACATGGGTCCTGTGTGCTAGCTCACAGTCACATCAAGGCAACAGCCAATATGGCCAGAAGGTGTTAAGAGCCTAGTTTGACATTATCACTCTCACGCAAATATATACACACAGTTCTGAATTTTGGTTAAGGGTGGGTGAGTCAGAAGACAGAAAAGAAAGCAAAAAAATGGAAGTTACAGTAGAAAAGAAACAGTCCCATTGACTGAAGAGAGTCCACATCAAGCCTACTGTCTGGCCCTTCAAAGAAGTAAATCCCAAGGTCTAAACCCCAGAGTAAAACCAGCAAAGCACACTGGCAGGACAAGGGTGGTGAGCAGCCCTTCCACGATGTCTGTTCTTAGCCAGCAGCTCCTAGACAGCCACAGTAGGACCCTTCACACATAGCCCTGAGTGAGCGTGGGCAGGAAACCAATGTGTATGGTTCAGCAAACTGCAAGCATCCGATCAGAAAGCCCAGCAGGTTCCTTGAAAGGGAACAATGGGGGTTATGCAGGGAATTCCAGTGTATCCTAGAAAGCAGCTAGGACGGCTTTCTGTGGAGCAAGATCTGACTGATGGAATGAGTTGCTGATGATGATAGTATTCTTCAAGCCCTGAGAATCTAGCATTTCTAGATTTCTCAGGAGGGTCTCATTCTTTCCTATTGGATTGTGTCATGCCATAAGCCACCAGGCACCATTTTGGGGAAACACAGAATTTGAAAATAAAAATAAACCAACTTTTAAAACTGTAATTTAAATATATTTTTAACAAGAATGACAAAATATTAAACAAGAAGACATAATTGGCTGGATGGCGGTATAAGTGTTCTTTGCCTGCCCTGGTAGGCACACAGGTGTTTGTATGGAGTTCCAAGACAACAGAGCTTCTTGGGCCTGTGTGAACACTCTGCCACCTCCTTGTCCACAGCAGCAAACAATCCAGAAGGCTGGATGCAGTCAGGTCCGGACCTCTGGGGAATGTAATTCCCAACTGTCACTAGGTAGTCTCCTGATCTGCTCTACAGAGACAATATGACATGGAGCATCTCCTGAAAGCTTGGAGGAAGCCCAGGAGCAGCAGAATGCGGCTGCGCTGAAGGCTGGAAGCAACCAGCAGCAGCCAGACAGTTCCCTCGAAACAGCTCCATGAGAGAAAATGAGTATCTTCAGCCCTGAAGCAAGTGCCCAGTGACACAGAAACTGTCCTCCAAGAACGGCTCTGACCCTGGGCAGGCATCCTCCTTCCCATGCACAATCTCTCTCACCGAAGGTAATAATCAATTGCAGCAGAAAAAGCAGCAAAACCTCCACAACCAATGGCCCCAGCCTTTAAGCCAGCTGTAAAGCAAACAGAAGTAACATTACCTTACCTGTAGTGACAGACAGGAGGATCAGGCTGCATCTACAAAAAGTTAGTGGACCCCTGACTTACAAAGTCAATTAGTTCACGAGGACTGGTTGTAACTCAAGTTGGTTGTAAGTCAAGACTAGTTTTCCCATAAAAAAATATGGAAATATCCATTCCATAATGCACTCCAAAGTGCCCTTGAGCTTTTTTTCATAATAAAAAAGGTGTATAACATGCATAATTTACCAGAAACACCAATAATTTCCTAGTGTAGTCACAAAGAGTTATTGAATGTGCCTCATTTACCAGAAACAACAATGCCATGCTGTACTCACCATTCAAGTTGACATCTTTGGCTTGTTTGGAAGGAGAGTCTCTTTCCATAAGAATATCAGGAACCTGGCCTCAGATGGACACTTACATTTGCTTACATACACTTTTCTGGCATCGCAAGCTTTGTTTACAGTTCCACAAGTGGCCAGCATTTGGGTTGTAACTCAAGATTTTGGTGGTAAATTAAACTTTTAAAATTCCCATCTTAACCGAAGTTGTTCATATGTGAGGTCAAGCATAACTCCAGAATCCACTGTACGCCCACAGATACAAAGAAACCAACTGAAGCATTCTTAATAATTCGACCAATGACAGCTCTATGAAACTTCAATGATACGAGGTATGTATCTAAGACAGTATGCTTTACCTAACTTTTCTCATTCCAAAGAGTGACTATTCCAGTCTTAAGAAAATGCTCCTCACAAGCAGGAAACTGCAAGAGAACCAGCCTCTGGAGTCAAATGAAAGCATACAGCCTTTTACCCTGATCTGTTATGGAATAAATTCCTAGGAAGGTGATCAAAGAAGGCCTGGAGGGAGCTGAACTCAAGAGACTCTAAAAAACTGAGCAGCAAGAAGTCCAAAAGAAAAGCCACTCTATAAATCACATGTAGCCATGTGAGAAGCAAAAGTAGGCTCTAATGACACCAAATCATCCTCACGCTCAGGATGAGAGGCTTTGTCCCCTGGGTAAGTCGGCGCTACTGGACAAGAGAGAGACCCTGCAACAGACACCACTTCAAGTCCCTAAAGTTTATACTACATTCTTGAACATGCCAACAGGAAGAAGTGATGGGCATCAGTTTGTTTCTTTGTTGTTCATAGGCAATAATCTAGCATTTTTAGGATGTCTGCACTTAGCTTCTTACCTTTTTCTTTTTTCTGTTGTACTGGGGATTGAACAGAAGGCCTAACAAATGAAGGCAGACACTACCATCAAGCCACACCCCAGCCCTTTCTTTTCTTTTTCTTTTTTAATTTGAGACAGAGTCTCACGAAGTCACCCAAGTTGGGCTTGAACTCTGATCCTCCTGCCTCAGCCTCCTAAATAGCTGGAATTACAGAATGCACCACTGTGCTCAGCTTCTGTACTCAGCTCTCAATGGGATTATAAGGCTCTCCATCTGCAGAAAGATAATAACATTGTAATTTATATAAAATTAAAACTGCTAACTAGTTTGGTGATATAGCTAGTGGTAGAGCACAATCTTAGCATTCACAAGGCACTGGGTTCGATCCCCAGCACCAGAAAACAAAGCAAAACACAATACTTGACAACCGTGTAAAATTAAGAAAAATGTCTGTGCTGGGCATGACGGCACACTCCCATAATCCCAACATTCTGGGAGGCTGATACAAAGTGACCACAATTTGTGTCTGAGCCCAGCATGGGCAACTTAGTGAGACCCTATGTAAAAACAAAAAGTAGGCTGGGAATGTAGCTCCATGCAAACGCCCCAGGTTCAATCTTACTACCAAGGAAGATGAAAAGAAAGACACCCTAAATGCGCAAAATACGCAGGGCCCACAGGTTTGGCACATCCTGTATGTACAGGTACAGGCTACCTGAGGTTGAGTGGACCTAGCTATGCCTTGGTACTACCCTATATACCAACACATTCCAATTTATTTCTTGTGAAAGTTGTTCTGGGATGGGGATTTAGCTCAGTGACATAAACGCCTGCCTTGCAAGCGTGCGGTCAAGAGTTCGATCCCCGGTACCAAAAAAAAAAAAAGTTGTTCTATACACTCAGTATGGGATAGTTCTTTTTTCTAAGCTAAATCTAGGTCAGTGGTTCTTACACAGGGTAGATTTGCCCCTCTTGCCAGGGGCTTCTGAAGACTGAAGGGGTGCTATTACAATCTGGCTAGACATCCTACAATGCACAGCAATGACTACCCAACGCAGTAAAGAGTCATCTGATCCAAAATGTTAACAGCGCCAAGGATGAGAAACCATGATATAGATACAAGCAAGTTTCCAAAACAGTTCACACACAAGTGATCAGGATTTATTTGTCAGGAGAGAATATCAAGTGTCTTTGGAACACTCATATGTTTGGAAATCTCAACATCAGCATGCTGGCCAAGACCACAAAAAAAAAAAAAAAAAAAATCAATCAAAAGCTGTTTACTAACCTCTGAAACCAATGGCTCCTCCAGTGATGCAGCCACTAATGACGCTGTTCTTCCAATCTGACTTTCCCCGGTACTGTGGGTAGAGAAGTGGTGCTCAGAGTCACAGCAAGCCAGACCAGAGAACAAAGGAAAAAACACAGGGCTTCCAGTTGGCTAATTCAGACTCTACCCAAAGGAAACCTAATCTTGAGTTCCCAGAATTTGAATATGTTCATAGATGATTCCTGCAGGTGGCACCAGAGCGCAGAAACCAATACTACACAGCACATTTGAGAAGCAAAACCTTATCTCAAATTCTCCAACAAATCTGTTTAAAATTATTCACTGAGCTCTTATGTTTAATTTCAACATATGTAAAGATATGGACAGCTATTTCGAAGAGAACAAGAGACATTATGGCAGCCATTGTTGACTTCCCTATTGTCTGGTCTTGAAGACCTAAAATGCCTTCCTCATCCTGTTCTGATCAGTTATACTGTTCAGTATGTATTCACTGTGTGTGCAGATGTGGACAACTATTTGGAAGAAAACTAGAGACAATATGATATACAGTGAAGATCTCCAGTGGTCTTACTTTGAAATCTGTGTTTCTTAAAATTGTTTCCTTATGGGGCTGGGGATTTAGCTCAGCAGCATAAGCGCCTGCCTTGTAAGCAGGCAGTCGTGAGTTCGATCCCCGGTACCGATAAAAAGGAAAAAGACAAAAAAAAAATTGTTTCCTTATGATCTGTTTTGTTCTGTTTATTTATTTATTTTTGTCTTTTTTTGAGACGGGGTCTCGCTATGCAGTTCAGGCTGGCCTTGAGCTCACTTTGTAGCCCAGGCTGGTCTCCAACTCGCAACGATCCTCCTACTTCAGCATCCCGAGTGCTGGGATTACAGGCATGAGCCACCACGCCCGGCTGTTTTGTTCTGTTTAATTTTACCCTCTTTAAAATTAAAAAAAGAAAATTATTCACTGAGAGCGAGACACAGTAATACATGTCTGCAGTGCCAGCTCCTCAGGAGGCAGAGGCAGGAGGATTGTTGGACTAGTCCAGACGACAACATAGCAAAATCCCATCTCAAAAGAAAATGCATATATACAAAAATAAAAATAAAATTTTTAACTAGGCTGGGGGTATGTGGCTCAGTAGTACAGCAGTTGGTCAGCATCTGTGAGGCTCTCAGTTTAAACTACAGCACACATTAAAAAAACAATAACTCCTCACTAACAAAAAGCAAAAAAAAAAAAAAAAGAGAGAGAGAGAGAGAGAAGAAACCCCATATTATAAACATATAAAAAGTCTACACCACAAACTATTTTATGGACATACAATCCAGACTGCATCTTGATGTTTCTGATCCGCACTTAGTAACATTAAGAGTATTTATCTTTAAAAGCAAGATGGTGGCAGACAATCGTTTCTTAGAAAGCCAAGAGACACTTACTGATTCTACCAAGCACTCGGTACAGGAAAACATGGCACCCACAATGGCAAAATTCTTGGCATAGGACATTCCTCTCTGCCCCATATCTTTAAGGACTTCTTTCGCAGTTGGTGTACGGTAAGGATCCTTAGGGTCAAAGCCTACGTTGGTATCAATACCGGCAGTAAACACCCCAAACGCGCCTCCCAAAACAAACCCTAAAAACAAACAGAGATGATTTCTTCAGCACATTTTCTGGATTACAGTGTTAGAATCATATGCGAAGCCAACCCTTTGGGTGTCCCCAGGAGCAGAGATCACCTCTCTTGCCACTCAAATGCTTTTATTTGCCTCCACATTACAAAATTGGAGACCAGTTTGGTAGCACATGCCTGTAACCCCAGCACTTGGAAGGCTGAAGCAGCAGGATCACCAAGCTTGGCTTACACAATGAGTTCAAGACCAGCATGAACTATGTAGTGAAGCCCTGACTCAAACAGGGGGAGGGGATTTGCCTCCTCTAGGAGTTTTTTTCATTTTATAACATTTCTCATGATTCAGTCTGCCACCCTCTGTTCTCTACACTTTTCATATGTGAACCAGACACCCTCAAACTCAGCTATCAACTTTGTAAGTCACTCCTTTGGTCTTGGTGTCGTTCATAAGTCACTTGATTACTTATGTCAGGCATTCAAATGCTTTATAGTCACAGCCTCATTTGTTCTTCACAGTAATCGTACCAGCCTGTAATCCCTGCACTCTGAGTGGCTGAGGCAAAAGGACTGCAAGTTTAAACTCTGCTAGGCAACTTAGTACCTTGGTAAGACCCTGTCTCAAAAGGGGAGGAATGTAGCTCAGTACAAAGACCCTGGTATGGCCACCAAATAGCAAATCCCACTCTACTATCCACCCACAACCTTCCTGAGCTGCTGCACGATGGCATCCACATGGCAGGTGACAAAATGACTGACTTTGTTCATCTGTTCACTTACTCTGCCAGTTGTTACTAAGCAATTGTCCTGTCCCAGGCTGTGGGAATACTGATGAAACAGACAAAAGCTCCTCCTTCCATGCTGGAAACAGGAGAAAACAGGTCTTCCCATCACCTCAAGGTCAATGACAATTCAATGAAATCGTGGACACCTCTCATCCCACTTTCCTGCTCATGGTTTCTTCTCTCCAGTCACTCCAGTATGTCACTTAAAAATCTGCACTTTTGTCACATTGATTTCTTAAGTGTCTTATTTAAACTCATTTACAAATGTGGCCCACTTCTTGAAGACACGCAGTAAGTTCTCAAACCCTCAAAAGTTTTTATTTCATAAAACACCACCTCCCTTGCACGTTACTGTCTACTCACATTGGTCTCCCCCCCACCCAAACCCCAAAGCAGCTCCTGCCTTGCAGTCCTTTGCACCTGCAGTTCCCTAGGTCTGCAGCACCCCCGCAGGGGCTCTATTCCACATTCTTCTTTCATACTGTAAATGCAGAACTCAGGAGAACCAGGCTCTGGTCTGTTTTGTCCCGTACTTCAAGCTCTCGGCACGTGCTTGCTGTTAGTAACAACTTCCTGAAAGCGTAAGTGACGGAACAAATCAATGAACGAAGTCAACCACTTTACCTGCAGGCCCAGACCATAGCACTGATTCTCTGATCCAGCGCCCAGCGTCGGGCGCTAACCCTGCAGACAGGAGAGGCGTCTCCGAGCTCACGGAGCCAGGAGCGGGTGCAGGCATAGATCCCCCGCCTCCCAGGCGTGTGGACTTCTTCGCAGACAACCCAAGGCTCTCCAAGTGCTCAGCGTCCCCGAGACCCCTAAAGCCTCGCCTCACCTCCCACGCAGGCAAGAGCCGCCTTGAAGGCGCAGCTTTCCATCGCCTTCTCGATCATCTTCTGTTCTTCACTCTTGGTTGGACTCGGGATCCCGCCCAAGCTCCCAGGCTCCAGGAGCCGGGGCTGGCGCTTGTCACCCACCAGGTATTGCAGAAGAAGGCTATACTGTAGGTGGGCTTCTGTAGCACTCGCCGCCTCAGGCGCAGAGCCCCTGCTGTTGGGAGAAGCCGCCGCCATGACTGCCCAAGAAATCCTGACGCTGTTTCTCCCACAGCAGATTCCACAAGCTGCCTGCCGTGGGCCCCGAAAGGCCAGTCACCGCGTCACAGCGGCAGATTCGCCACGACGAGGAACCTGCGGAAACAAAAGTCGGCCTCTACTCCTCCGGCGAAAGAGTTATCATGTTTCTAAAAAGCCTCTTGTGAACGCTGAATCAGGCTTGTGAGGCATTCTCAACTTCCCCACAAGCAAACAAGGTTCAGAGTCACCAAAAACCGCCCTCTTTTTAAGACTGCAGCTCGGTGCTTGTCGGGGTCTATAGCTCTAACTCGAAGATCCAACTACATTTCCCAGAAAGCCGTGCGCGGGGGTCTCGCTGGGCGGTGACCTGGGAAGTCGTAGGCGAGTCTTGCGAGGCTCAAGTTCACCAGGGAGCTGACAGGAGTTAAACGTAGTTTATCTTTTCGTTCTTCCCTGATCATTGGAGGACTCTCACTTTTTTTTTCTTTTTTGTGGGGGTGGGGGACGGAAGTCTCTCTAGGTTGTCCAGCCTGGTCTCGAGCTCATAAATTCTCCTGTCTCAGCCTATTGGAAAGTACTTGAAGGCGTTTTGAGATGGAAATGGGGGGCAGGTGCTTTGTAAGATAAACATGGAAGCGTGACATAAATGTATAACATAAATATTTTGTTCAGTAGTTAAGCTTTTGAGGAGAAAGATGGGCCCAACAGATGAGTGAACTAACCAAGCATCAGAAAGACCAAAAACTGTGACTAGGAAGTGGAGGCGACCGGAGCCCAACGGAGGGAAGCCAGGCTGTGCGGATGCAATGGGACTATGAGGTGGACTATTATTACTATAAAAAGCCTAATTTACGTTAGGTTGAACCCATTCAAATGTTTACCAATTTCAAATTCATTACCTAAGGATAAAACTGTGAGATAGTACTGAATATTAACCCAGAAAAAAATTGCTGTAGCTTTTATGGTACTAAAATTAGATCCCAAACCATGGAATTAATTCAGACTAGGATTGGATTGGATTGGATTGGACTGGATTTTGCAGTGTCGGGTTTGGAACCCAGGGCCTTCAGCGTGCTAGGCAAGCATTCTACAACTGAGCTACAGCCTTAGCCCCAGATTAGCAATTTATTTGGGAATCTCAGGTAAGAGGAACATGCATTGCTAACTGCAGAAGACCAAAGAAAGCAGCCAGCGTAGGGTCTCCAGCCATAGTTTTGGGGTTTTAAGGTCAGAAATTGACCAATGGTATCCCACAGGTTTGGAACACAGTTTTCTATATACAACTTGGAGGCATTGTGGTTACTCCTTCCCATCTCCACAGTAGAATTTATGTGTAGATTTCTGGGCCTGGTGGCGCATGCCTGTAATCCCAGCACTCTGGAAGATGGAGGCAAGAGGATTACAAGTCTGAGCCCAACCTGGATGACTTCATGATTTAGGGAGACTGTCTCAAAATAAAAAATGAAAGGAATGGGGCTGTAGCTCATGGTTAAAGTCTAGGGTTCAATTCTCAGGGGGAAAAAAGTCATTAATGAGCACGACCCAGTCATATTCCTGGAGGGCTGTCTTGGCCTCTTGGCCTGATGGAGGCTTGGGCTTGCTGGCTCAGGGCAGGCCTAATCCACCAACGTTCTGCTTTGATGTTGCACAGCCCTTGTTGAGCAGCAGAAGCACCTCAGAGATAATTAGTGACTGTTGAGCATGGAGTTTCTAAGTGAAGCATGGAATGGGCGTGAAAAAGCTGCATTTCCTAGATGGTGTCACTGGTCAGGGACCACGTTTGGGGGACTACAGAACCATATCACTGTCTGCAATGATTTTTTGTTTTTGTCAGAAACAAGGTCTCACTATGCAGTTCAGGCTGGCCTCGGGCTCACTTTGTAGCCCGGGCAATTCTTGAAGTTGCAAAGATCCTCCTGCCTCAGCCTTCTGAGTGCTGGGATTACAGAAGTGCACCACCACCTTTGGCTTGTCCACAATGACTCATAAGGGAAGTAGTCTCACTACTCAGAGCTCCACTAAGATGGGAACCTGACTCTCGAACATATCTCAAGGCCAGGAGCCCTTGGGAGTGTGGCAGAAATCCAGAGAAGACAGAAGTAGCACACTGCCAGTTTCATCCCTATCCTAAAGCAAGTTTGGCTTGCTCAAAGGGCTGGCCTCCGCGGGTTTGGGTCAATCAATTGTGGAAAAAAGATCACTGATCCCTCCGACAGTGTTCATTTTTATCTGAAATGAGCAGCTCAACTTGCTAACTCGGCAGGAGCACAGGCAGCCATCTCTTGCCACGTGAGGAGGCCTCAGCAAATATAGCTGAGCCCTTGGAGGGGCAGTTAGCCAGCAACAAACTCAGGCCCCCAGGTTAGATTCCCAAGCACAGGGCAGGGAGCAGCACTGAAAGGCGGGCAGGAAGGTGCATCCTAGGGTTTTATTGTGCACACACAAGCAGAAGCTATGGGGCTTCCTGTCCTGAATTAGAGCTTAACTTTACCCCTCAAGCCTGTTCCCCATTTCCCATCTGGGAAGCTCCATGCACTTAAAGAGATGCTTAGACTCCTGTTTCTACATCGTCTATAAACATTCTGAGTAACTTTCAATCTGCCCCTTTTTATATTTTATTGCCTTCAGTTGTGTAAACCCTCGTTATTTCTTGATACTTTTTATGTATGGGGAGTTAAACCCAAGGCCTTTGTACTAAGCTATTTCCCCAGCACCTTTTTACTATTTTTATTTTTGAGACAAAGTCTCATAAAGTGCTGAATTCCCCAGGCTGTGATTCTCCTGCCTCATCCCTCTGAGTACTGGGATTACAGTACAGTTCTGCCCTGCCACACTGAGCTCTCCATTCTGAATTGTTCTGGCTTCTTCTCTTGCTCCTTCCAGACCATCCACAGACCTGTCTTTCAGCACAAAAATATGTTTGCTTAATTCTGTAATCCTAACACAGGCAAGATATTAGTGATTACAGTTTAACTGAAAACCAGAAGGCAATCAAGGCCAAGTATCCTCCAGTCATTCAAAAGTGGGAATATTTAGGTCACAGAGCAGATGCCTGGCTACATGCATGGGAGATACTCTGGAGGAGGCATTTGAGCAGTGTGCAGTGCCCACGTGTGGCAGTGTGACAGACACGGGACTGTGGAGCCCCTCCAAATAACGGGGGAAACCCAGTGAGCTGTTTTACAGTCTCTTCTGTTTCATTTTTTGGATGACTAACTTTATAAGCCAGAGGTTTTTGTGATCGTTGACATTTAGCACACATGCACAAGTGGAAAATCAGCTGGGTGTGGTGGCACGTGCCTGTAATCCCAGCTGTGCTGTAGGCCGAGTAAAGGATTGAAAGTTCAAGACCAGCCCTTGCAACTTGGCAGAAACTCTTGTCTCAAAAAGAAAACAATAATAAGAGGGCCCCAGTAATAAAGCACCCCAAGTTTCCATCCATAATACTAAGGAAGAAAAAAAGGAATAGAAAATTAGGGAACAGCCTTGGTCTGTATTCTCTACACAGTCAAACTTTAAAGCCTGCTTCAATTCTTTTTTTGTCTCCCCCCCCCCACCAGGGATTGAACTCATGATCTGGTGCTTGCCAGGCAGGTGCTTCCACCACTGAGCTAAATCTCCAAACCCCTATTTGTGCCTTCTCCAGTTCTTAAAGGGCAGTTATGACCACTCTTAATTCTCTGCTTTAGCAGAAGGTACCTCAAGCCCTTCCAATGAGATACAAGCTCTCGGGGCTGGGGGATTTAGCTCAGCAGCATAAGCACCTGCCTTGCAAGTGCACGGTCATGAGTTTAATCCCCAGTACCGACAAAAAAAAAAAAGATACAAGCTCTCTGGTCTGTTCCCAGCAAGTATCACCAGTATAAGCAGTTGAGATAGAATCAAGTTTGGAAAAAAGAAGAGGAAGGAGGAGAAGGAGAAGAAGGAGAAGAAGAATAATTATTTGAGTAAAAAACATTTCTACACTTAGGTAAATCTCCCTCCTTTCCTCTCCCCCCTTTCTCTCTCTCCCCTCCTCCTCAATGCTCTAAATTCTTCTCTGTGCCAGGATGAAAATAAAACTCCATGTGTTACTTTTACAACTTGGGCCCAGGAAGACACACATGCTACAGCCCAAGCTTAATTCTTGCTGGAACATTTCCATTCCCAGTCGCCTGCTTTTGATATTCTCATTTGAATCTGGAAGTGATGAATCAGAATCATTGTATGTCATATTCTTTAGTGTTTGAGAGCTGAACTTGGGCTTTTGACTCTGTATCATTGCTCTACAGGTATTATTCTTGGACTTGGGCCCTTAATCAAGTGGGAAATGTTAGACAGTTTTGCTTCTGTTGTGTCTCAATTCTTTTTAGTCTGACCTGTGATAACTTTGAGGAAAACAACAGTTGTCTGTGCTATTTTCAGTCAAAATCCTTAGATTCTAGCTTGTTTCTGGTGGGTAGTCTATTATGGAGCAGTTTTCCCCTATACCATAATTGTTTGGAAGTTTTATTTATTCACCCATATTTACAATCCAGATTTGCTTACAATCTCTTGTGCTGTCACACTGGATTTATTTACTGAAAGCTGCTGAAAATGTGGCAAACACTTGACCATCTGGTGCATGGTTAGAACCCACTTTAGGTTTGGTTAATGGGTCGTATACTTTGGCTGTATCTGCAGCAGAGATGTACTCCCCGATTGTTCTGAAAAGTGGTAGAGGCAAATAGAAATATCCATAACATTTTTTCCCAGCACAAGAAAGAAAAAAGAGGAAACTTGGAGAGCTAGAGATCAGGGCTGGGATGTAACTCAGTGGTAAAAAGCTTTCTTAGTACATGTGAAGCTCTGGGTTCCATCCCTATCCCCACAAAAACAAATGAACTAGAAACCAGACCTTACAGGCATGCTGCTGCACTCCTGTAATCCCAGCTATCTGGGAGACTGAGCACCAGGACTGCAAGTGCAAGACCGATCTGGGCAATTTAGCAAGACTGTGTCTCAAATTTTTAAGAAAGAGATAGGAGGGAAAGGATATAAGGGATAAAAAAAGGAATTGAGAGCTGTGGATTTAGCTCAGTAGCGTAAGTGCCTGCCAGGCAAGTGTCAGGTCATGAGTTCGATCCCTGATACCAAAAAAAAAAAAAAAAAAAAAAAGGAATTGGGATGATTATGTACATGTACAGACTTCCCACAAGGAGGGTAAACAGTATATATTAGCCACATGTACCAATAAACTAAAGTGTTTTTTTTTTATAAACTAAAGGGTTTTTTTGTTTGTTTGTTTGTTTTTTTTGTC